TTTTTTTTTTTTTTTACTTATATTAAGTCATTGAATTCCCATAACAATCTCATAAAGTAGGTCCTACTGCTACCCCCATTTTGGATATTGAGGCACAGAAAGTTTATAACTTACTCAAGGTTCCACACTGTAAAAGCCAAGCCAGGCTCTAGAATGTTGTCTTCCTTAGGATGCTAATATTTGCTGATTTTTGCTCCTGTGCCAAGTGCTGGGCTCAAGTTTACATCACTTTGTTTTTGTACTAAGAAGAAGCCTTTTGAATAAGGAACTATGATTATCTGAGGAAACTGGCTCAGAAATCCTTTCCCCAAACTCAGAGCCAGGATTTGAGCACAACTCTGCTGTGTTAGTCATTTCTTTTCTGTGAATCTTTTTGATGAGCAAGGCATTGAGCTAGGTGAGCTTTTAAGGCCACTTCTTTCTAAGTACAAATAAACTCCTGTCTTGCAGCTCTTCTGATGGGACCTAGGGCCATGGAGGACATTCAGGCACCTCATGCCAAAGCCACCAAGAGCCTATGTGTTTTAGGAAAGCAGACTACCTACAGCCAATTTGGAACCTCACCCATTGATGTGGGAGGACAGACTCAGCTTTTTGCAACATCTTGATAGACATGGCCTTGTTAGGAAACCATCTCAGGCAAGTGAGAAAGTATAAGCCAGTTGCTCCCAATTTTACTTTTCAGTGAGGGTCAGTTAGGGACACCAGTTGGGCTGCCACACATTTCATCACCACAGAGACTGGGCAGCCCTTATTAACTTAAAAACATTCTTTCACCTCTTACTGCTCATTTTTTAAGTTTACCTTTGTAACTATTCCCCTAGGAGAAAAGTGTGATAATTATGCCTATTTTCCAGATAAGGAAGCTGAGGCTGAGAGAGAGAAAATGATTTGTCCAGCCAAGCCAAGATTTCAACCCAGGCTTCTGGATGCTCTGCCATACTGAGAAGACTCCTTCTTAGGACATTCATTCAGGGGAGAATGGAGTGGGCATTTGCCATCTGCACATCCTCAGTATCCATGGGCATCTCTACAAAGGAGGGGTCTGGGGAGAGTTGTGGATGGTTCCAGCTAGGCAGAGGATCTGGACAAAATTAAGACCTTGGTGATAGAGGTGTACTTTCACTGATGAAGAAGAGTTTCCCAGAATCCACTGCAGATAATAACCATTGTGTCAGCCTTGCCCAACTGTTGTTTATCATTGCCTTCCTTTCCTGGACCTCTATGCAAGCACCCATGAGCTTTCCCTGGCTTCTACTTCATACTTTGTAAGGGAGCAGCTCCCTGAAATTTTCAATTTCAATAGTCACTAGAGGAGACAGGTCCCTTTACAGCCATTAACAGCAACTGTAGGCAATGTCATCAGCATTGAATTGCTTCCTATTTGTCTCTCTGTCTCTTTAGACTCTATAAAAGACATTCACTTATTTGTTTAATTTGATATCCCCAAAAAACCCCATAAGGAAGTGGTATTACTTCAAATTCACCAATGAGAAAAGGAAGGTTCAAAGAGGTTAAGCATCTTGCCCAAAGTTGCACAGCCAGGAATTGACAAAGCTAGGATTTGAATTCAGATCCAATTCCTAATCCCTCCCTCATGAAACTTCCTGTTGTGAAATTCCATGCAGTCAAATCCAGTGCCTCCTTTTGACCTGGGAGCACTGCACAGTTCTCTCCAATGCCGGGTTGCTAAATCAGATTGCCATGCTCTGTAGCTTGGCCCCAGACCTTAACCTCTCTGGGCCTTGGTTTTTCTATCCCATCTGTGGAAGGAACTAGTGACAGCAGTGGTACCCTCAACTCCCTAGACTTTGTGTGGACACCTGAGGGTGCACAGTTCAAGTGACATGAATGCCATGGAGGAAAATCCTCATCAAATTCAAGATGGTGCTTATGGTTAAAATCAAATCTGTAACCAGTGCTGGTGGCCAGCCAGCAGAACAGATGCAGACTTCTTTTAAAAACTAGAGTGCCTCTGTTATGGCAAAGACCCTCTTTTCTCTTTCCTCCCCAAAGAAACCTATGGTGTTTCAAACTCATAGTCCTATGATGTCACCTGGAGACACTATTTTTAATAGTTCCCTGATGAAAATCTCAGGTATTTTCAAGGCCCCAAGTCAAGTGTTGCCAGAGGCTGGCGAATGACCATTTGGTTAACCAATCATGAGGTCTGAAGCCAGTGGGGAATTTTGCCAGAAACTGCATTGACATGTATCACACCCTGCCCTGAACTGGTGCCTCCCCCTCCCCCCAGAGTTAAGGCCAGGGCAAGCAGAGGAGGCTGTGTGGGATACTTACTACACCCCTGGCTGACAGGAGGCGGAGCATCTGCAGGGGCTGGCTGGGTGGGTGGCTGGACCGGGCTTCGGGGCTGGCCTTGCAGAGGGTCTTGGAGCAGCGGCGGGAGTGCCTCCTTCGGGACTTCCGCCCTTCCTCAGGGGACCGGCCACGGTGCCTGGGGGCAGGGGAGAGAGAGCTGAGGGCAGGGAGGTGGTTAAGGGACCAACAGGATCTGAGGATGATAGAGTGCATATTTGTATATGTTCATGTGCGACTTTGTCCCAGGGTATGTTTGAGTTCATGAAAGTTCATGAAAGTGAACATGAAAGTTGGCTTATGGGTATATCTGTCCACCAACCTACCCTTCCATCCATTCTTTCTCCCTTTTTCTTTTCTTCCTTCCCTTTCTCCCATCTGTCCATCTGTCCACTCATCTGTCCATTCATTCCCCCACTACTACGCACCTGTCCACGGATGCATTTATTCATTGACTCTCCCATGATTTATTCGTATATCTGGCAGTTTGGGGAACTGGGAACACAGCCATCAAGAGACAGGTGTATGACCTGATTTGGTGTAATGTTCTGTGTGTGACTGTGTGTATGTCTGGGTGTGTCCATCTGTGTGTCTACAAATATAACTGGGTGTATCTGTGTGTTATATATGTAACTTCGCCATCTGCAAAATAGAGGCAGCCTGTTGATTGCCACCCAAAACTTTGACAAAATCACAGACAAAACAGAGCTGCCTTCTGCAAGCTTGTCAGGTCTAGATGTGGCCTCTCTGTCTGTTGTGGAAACTAGAGGAATGTCTGGCACCTTGACAAGGGTGCATGTGGACTCTGTGTATCCTGTTAGCTCTCTGGGACACAGGAGTAATAAAAACACTATGTTGTTGATTTGCACAAGCCCAGGTATTACTTTTCCATTTGACAGATGTGAGAGCTGGGGCTCAGGGACATTTAGGGACCTGCCTGAGTTTACATAGCTTGTCAGTGGTAGAACCAGGGTCAGGGTAGGGTTTTCTGCACTGTAAGAACCGGTGCCTCTCATTCTTGCTCTGGAGTGTCCCTGTTTCTTCTAAATCCTTCCTGATCATCCCTCTGCTGGGTGTGTGGTCAGCAACTGTAGGCAGCTTGCTCCCATGCCTGCTGGGATGGCTGCCCAGCAGCTCAGTAGTTCCTGGGAGCTCAGGTGGCAATACCACCAGAATATGTGGCAGCAGAAGGAGGGCTGGGATGGCAACCATCTGTCCAACAGGTAAGTTGTGGGGAAAGCAGAACGCAGTGCCATGAGGCATGTCTTCAGACAGGGCCTGCACGGTTCTCCCACCCAGGCCAGCACTGAGCTGCTGGCAGCTGATTCAGCTTGGGGTGGAGAGGAAAGGCCCACGTTCACCTCTGCCACTCACTTAGTAGCTGAGTGACTTTGATCTCTTTGCCCACCAAGACTTTTTTTTCCATGCCTGTGATTCAGTTTAGTGTGTCAGTGTCCTCCAGATAACAGCCATGAGGAACAAGCCAGTAGTTGGACAAGCATGTTTACTGCCCATTGCAACAGGGGAGAATGTATACTGTAGGGATCCACTGTGTGTCTCTGTGGGAGGGTGTTATAATATCTGGGCTTGTGGAGGTGATTTGGGGAAGTTTTTAAGAGACTGAGCCTTTGTTCTAGAATGGATGTCATCAGAAATTTGGGGGTAATTCTATGATTACGTATCTTAATAAATCTTATCTAGCATGAGGGAAGAGTAGACTGAGGCTAAGGCTGTTATTATGGGAGCATAGTGCCTAAGGCATTTGACTCCAAACTAGAAGGCTGTTATGGACTCAGACAAACCAGCAATGAAGATGATACAGGATCGGGCAGTGTGTTGTTCTGTAATACACAGCATCACCACGAGTCAGAGGCAACTTGATGGCAACAAGTCTGTGACTGGGAAGGAAGCAGTAGTCACTCACATTAGCTAGGGTAGGAGCTCTTTAGTCATTCTTGTGTTCCGGACAGAGTTCTTGCTTTGTCTGTGTTCAGATGTGATTACGGAGTACTCTTGTTTTTGTCTTGATCCACCCAGCTCAGAGTGGCCTTGTCTCATGCTGATGTTCTCTAGAGTTGCTGATGTTCAGAACAATTGCTGGGGCCTAGCTGGTAGCACCAGGCCAGTTCCTGAGGTCCAGGGCTGCTTTACTCTATTTTTTTTTCCCCCACACTTTCTGTGTCCAACTCTTTCCTTTGTCCTTACTTCCCACCCCCTCCCACCTTTTGAGCTCTATCCCTGGGCAAATGCTGTTTTATTATTATTATTATTATTTAATTGTGATTTGGATGAAAGTGTACAGAGCAAATTCATTTTCCATACAACAGTTCATACCTAGTTTTTTTCATGACATTGACTGTTGTTGTTGTTAGGTGCTGTTGAGTCATCTCCAACTCATAGCAACCTCATGTACAGCAGAACGAAACACTGCCCGGTCCTGTGCCAGCCCCACAATCCTTGCTATACCTGAGCCCATTGTTGCAGCCACTGTGTCAGTCCATCTTGTTGAGGACCTTCCCCTTTTTTGTTGTCCCTCCACTCTGCCAAGCATGATATCCTTCTCCAGGAATGGTCCCTTATTACAGCATGACCAAAGTAGATGAGACGAAGACATTGACTGCAATCTCTTCCCACTTCCTCCCTGTGATTACCTTTGCCCTGTGTCCTTCTCCCAGCACATTCCTGCCCTCTGAGCGATCTCCCATGATTGATTGTTCTAAGAAGTGTACCTACCTGGTCTAAATGTTCATCTTATATGCCTATCGTTTGGCTGGTGCTATGGGAATAAATTCAATTCCAGAACTGAAGGGTAACTAGGGCCCATAGTCTCAGGGGTGTCACCAGTGTCTATCACACCAGTAAGCTGGTATTTTTTGTGTGTGACTTTTTGAGTTTTGTTCCACATTGTTCTGCCACTCTGTCCAGGATCTCTTACACTGATCCCTTTCTGATTGGTTGACAGTGGTAGCTGGGCACCATCTAGTTCTTCTGGTTTCAGGGTCATGTAGTCTGAGGTCACATGGCCCACTAGTTCCTTGGACTAATTGTCTCCCTGTGTCTTTGGAGACTATGTTATGTGAATTTACCTTGATGTCCCCTGAGATTATGGTCCTGAGCCTCCCTACCCTTACTTGTTCCTTCAAGGTCTTTGGTTGTCATTAAGACATCATAACTTTTGTCCACTATCTGTTCTACTAAGGAGCTCTGGTGGAACAGTGCCTAAGGCATTTGACTGCTAACCAGAAGGTTAGCAAACCCACCAGCTACTCCATGGGAGAAATATGGAGCAATCTGCTTCCATAAAGATTTACCATGTCAGAAACCCAATGGGGGTCATAATGAGTTGGAATTGATTCAATGGCATTGAGTTTTGTATGTTCTACTACCTTCAAGGCTATATTAGAAGCACTTTAAATACATAGGTAGAGGTAGAGTCTGTCAAACATAAGTATCTGTGGGTGTAGTCCCATTAGCCTTCCTACCTCTTCACAGATTGTCTATATACATATGTACTCATAAATTATTAATATTGCAGGTTGAGTATGTAATAGTATTCACCTTTGTTGCCTTTAACTCTTTGTGCTTCTCTTTTTTTCTCTGCCTTGGTCATTTTGTGCTGACCTCCTCTTTATTGTACATTGCCTTCCCCTTCACCCAAGTCAATT